TGCTTTACACAGCATTGGAAAATAAGGAATATCCACTAGGAATTTTTATTGACCTAAGAAAAGCTTTTGACACAGTAGACCACGACATCCTGCTCCACAAACTTGACCATTACGGTATAAGAGGCCATGCGCTTGCTTACTTCAAATCTTACCTTACTAATAGATATCAGCATGTCACCATTAAAGACACAGCTTCAACAACATGGCCACTTGATACTGGAGTTCCGCAGGGAAGTGTCCTTGGTCCCCTGCTCTTCCTCATATACATCAATGATCTTCCAAACGTATCCCAACACCTGAAACCCATTCTCTTTGCTGACAACACGACTTATGTCATCTCTCACCCTAATCTTGCCACCCTCAACACCATTGTTAAGGAGGAGCTGATCAAAATATCGACTTGGATGAGAGCCAATAAACTTACGCTTAACACTGACAAAACCTACTATATTATGTTTGGTAGCAGAGCAGGAGATGCACAAATTAACATTAAGATCGACAACACTCTAATTACCAGACATAATGAGGGCAAATTCCTAGGCCTATACCTTGACAACAACCTGAATTTCAGTACCCATATCCAACACATAACCAAAAAAGTATCCAAAACTGTTGGGATCCTCTCCAAGATACGATACTACGTGCCGCAAAATGCCCTTCTCACACTATACCACTCACTTATTTATCCATACCTCACCTATGCTATTTGTGCTTTGGGATCAACTGCAGCAACACACCTAAAGCCAATAATAACCCAACAAATAGCTGCAGTAAGAATAATCACTAAATACCATCCCTGGCAACACCCCCCCCCCACTCTTCATAGATCTAAACTTACTCCCTGTTCAGTGCATCCACTCTTACTACTGTGCAATCTACATCTACAGGACCTTAAACTCCAATATCAACCTTGACCTAAAACGCTTTCTTGATAGTTGTGACAGAACCCACAGGCATAACACCAGACACGAACATCTCTACGACATTCCCCGTGTCCGACTAAACCTTTACAAAAATTCAATGTATGTCAAAGGCCCTAAAATCTGGAACACCCTACCTGAGAACTCTAGAACTGCAGACACATTCATCACCTTTAAAACTACCATTAGAAAACATCTTATCTCCCTGATACACCCTGTCAACTAACTACACGAATACCACCTGGTGGTTCACACTTACACTCACTCACCCATTTGACCATAAACAGAAATATTAATCTCAATCTTAAAATAATGAATTCTGTGATACTCCAATACTGAAACTATGTACTGTGCCAAAACAAAAGCAATCACATTGCTAAACTTACAAACTAGTATTTAGTCACTTAGCCATAATACCAACTTACCTCATAATTTGTAATATTTTAAAATGAAAAATTAAACTAAGTCTGCCCGAAATGCCTAGCCATGCTAGGTGTTCTAGTGGTACACTCTGTAATCATTATTTTACTACATGTAAACCACACAATAACCAAATTCTCTAAACTCAGCATTGTAATCCTTATAGAGAATAAAACTTTGAATTTGAATTTGAATTTGAATTTGAATGGTGGATGGAGGAAATAAGGAGCATCATCCACCCACAGTTAAGTAACCTTTCTAGTTTAGTAAACTGATACTGGCCAGTTAGGTATGTTACATGATAAGGTTGTGGGTGATCCAACTACATCAAGTGACCACCAGCGAAAATCTGGTTCACGTGTATCCCCTTCCCCCCTTTTCTAATCCATCCAATATATACAGACAGTCCACAACTTATTTGTAATGCCATACCTATTGGTGTTATCCAACCTTAATTTATGGTACTAGTCTAGGATGGATGGGGATAAGATTTGTGAGGTCGAAGGAGCCACCTGCTGCGACCAGGAGTGGCTTAAGTTTTCTCTCACTTCTACACGGGGTAACTACTGTAAACAATATATGGTTGTCACCTCCCATGAGATTACGTCTATGAATGTAATGTTGAGGTACATGCAAGTGATTTAATTTCCACAATACCCACTGTACGTACATTCAGACTTCCTACAATAAATATATTTACCACTCACTATAAGCTAAGGACTAAAATATTTTAAGGTGTATAATGTGTGTACTGTATATGCATTTTTTAGGCCTAGCTCTATTGCTCAATATCTGATAGCATAAATATGTTATTAGTCTTTCATATGCATTTGAAAGTGAAAAAAGGCTATGTTCCCCATTTTTGCAGGAGTCAGGGACCTAATCCTCAGTATAAGCAGGACCTATTGTATTTGTACAAACAGTAATGACACTTAGTTTCTCGATAATGTTATATACGTCTGTGTATATGACTAGAATTGTTGATGATCCTGTATATCTCTAATGTATGTATGAACTGGACTGTTGATAAAGATTAGGAATATACCTATAGTGTATGTATGATGTGTGTGTGAGGGTTACTACGATGATAAATTCAGAGGATCGATAAGTTTATCGATCCTCTGAATTTTCAAAGTTGTCTATGAACTCAATATTAATTCTTAATTGATGAGTAATTTAATTGAATTCAACACTGTTTCAGTATAAAATATCAATAATATAATTCAACCGTGTTTTAGTGCAATATCAAACAATTTTCATTTCTACAGGATAACGACCATCCAGAGGAGTGTAAAGTGTGTTTTGACAATTATGATGAAGAACTACGACGGCCACGCACTCTGCCGTGTGGCCACACATTCTGCTCACAATGTATTGAAGATACAATAAATGATGTTCAACTAACCTGTCCCAGCTGCCGTGCTGAGCACAGCGCCACAGCTGCTACTCAATTCCCAATCAGCTACATTGTGGAGGCCTTCATAAAGAAATTCAAGGATACCCATCTCACACCAGCGGGCGCAGTGTTAGCAAAATGTGGTCAAGATCGCAAAAGAGGCTTCAGCGAAAAGCTACAGTCTATGGTACAGGAAGAGAAGAGCAGTATCAATAACCTAATAAGTGAGTGTGAAGAAATGCTGTCCCAGTTGGGCAAGTACCAGGGGCTGGTGAGGGACTGGAATACCCTGCACCACCAACTGCAGGACAGACTCTATGATCTGATGGAGAAGAACATGGCAGCAATAGAGCTCCTGGAACAGGAAGATATAAGTGTGGTGAATATGACAACAGAAGGAGAGGATGGAAAGAAGCAGCTGCAGACCATGCTGGAGTGCCTCGACACAGTCACCACTGCACAGGAGGTATTTGCAGTCATTGATGAAGCTGATCAGAGCAACATGGAGGCTGAAGATTGGATCCAGAAGTGTCAGGAACTCTTCCCAGATGTCAACACTATCTCTACTTCAGTGAAGGTACACTGCTGGACGTCACTACTGTCACTGAACTGAAAGTAACATGTGTGTTTTATAAATACTATAAGTATTTTAACACTTCACCTGTAATATTTTTATGCTTTTCTTTTTTAAGTGTTTACTTATATGTAGTTACAATAGTTATACATTCCAGTTACTTGTGTTTGAAATATTAATCTGATTTTATTTATTATTTTCTTATTAACACATCGACCGTTTCCCACCGAGGCAGTGTGACCTGAAAAAGAAGAAACACTTTCATCATCATTCACTGCATCACTGTCTTGCCAGAGGTGCACACACACTACAGTTAAAAAAAATTGCAACATATCAACACCCCTCTTTCAGAGTGCAGGCACTGTACTTCCCACCTCCAGAACTCAGATCCTGCTGCTGGCTTCCTTGAATCCCTTCATGAATGTTACAATGTTCACACTTCAACAGCACGTAAAGTCATAAAAATCATTTATCTCCACTTTCTCCTATCTAACATGCTCACTCTGGAAGTCCAAGCCCCTTGCACACAAAACCTCCTTTTCCCCCCTCCCTCCAAACCTTCCTGGTCCAATCCCTGCCCTGCATTCCTTCCACTACAGATTTATACGCCCTCCAAGTCATATAATTTCATAATCCTCTTAAAATGTCCTAACCATCTTAATAACCTCTCTCCCCTCAGCCCTCTGGATAATACTTTTAATAACCACACATCTCCTAAGTTCCAAACTACGAATTCTCTCCATTATATTCACACCACACATTGCCCTCAGACACTATAAGTCCACTGCCTCCATCCTTCTCCTTGTTGCAACATTCACCACCCATGCTTCGCACCTATATAGCTATTCTTTCATACATCCCCCTCTTTGCTTACATGGATAGCATTCCATCTCTCAATAGACTCCTCAGAACACATCAGTCACTTTTTTCCCCTCATCAATTCCATGATTCACCTCGTCTTTCATAGACCCATCTGCCGACAAGTCCACTCACTAATATCTGTATACACTCGTTTCCTCCATACTTCCTCCAGTCTGATATCCAGTCTTTCATTAACAATTTTTTTTGTCCTCATCGCCCTGCTCTTTCCTATGTTCACTTATAATTTCCTTGTACAAACCCCACTAATCTATGTTTATAGAGAGGAAACAGATATATCAGATCATTTTTTAGTTGTAGCTACAGTGAGAGTAAAAGGTAGATGGGGTGCAAAGAGAATGGAAGGAGCAAGTAAGAGATAGATGAACATTTATAAACTAAAAGAGGATGCACTTAGGGTAAGATATAAGCAACAATTGGTAGAAAGATGGCTAATGAGACTGAAGAAGTATGAGGTAGATTTAAGAATGTAGTGTTAAAGTGTTCACCAGAAATCTGTGGAAATAGGACGTTGGGTACAGGAGGAAAGAGAAGTGATTGGTGCAATGATGAGGTTAAGAGTAGTAATAGAGAAAAAGTTAGCATATGAGAGGTCTTTACAAAGTAGAAGTAATAAAAGTAGAAAGGAGCATATGGAGAGAAAAACAGAGGTTTGGATAGTGGTGAAGGAATGTATAAGGAGAGCTAATGAGAGATTGGGTGAGATGCTATCAACAAATTTTGCTGAGAATATGAAAAAGTTCTGGAATGAGATTAATACGTTAAGGAAACCTAGGGAATATATGCATTTCACAGTTAATTAAAAGTAGAAGAGGGTTATTAAATGGAGACTTAAAGGTATTAGTAAAATGGAGGGAATATTCTGAGGAGCTGTTAAATGTTTTTAAGATTGTGAAGCTACGATTTCATGCATTGGCCAGAGAAGAACAATATCTCTTAGGAGTGGAAGAGATGGATGCGAGTGTTAGGGAGGTACTTGAGACTGTAGGTAGAATAAAAGGGATAAAGCAGCAGGGATTGCTAGGATCAAGATGGAAATGTTTAAAGTAGGTGGGGTCATAGTCCTTGGAATGGTTAGTGTTTTTAGTTAATAAATGTATGGAAGAAGGGAAGGTACCTAGGGATTGGTAGAGAGCATTCATAGTTCCTTTGTACAAATGCAAAGAGGGCAAAAGAGTGTGTAAGAATTATAGGGAAATAAGCCTGTTGAGTATACCTGGAACAGTGTGTGGTAGTTATAATTGACAGAATTAAGGGTAAGACGGAGAGCAGGCGTGCAGATGAATAAGGAGGCTTTAGGATGTGTAGACTAAGTGTATACAGTGGAAGCATATAAGTGAACAGTATTTAGATAAGGTTCAAAAGGTTTTCTTTGCATTTATGGATTTGGAAGGGCACATGATAGGGAGGATATGGGGACAATGTGGCAGATGTTGCACATGTATGGAATAGGTGTTAAGTTGCTAAGAGCAGATAAGAGTTTTTACAAGGTTAGTGAGGCTCCGGTTAGAGTACTGAAAAAAGATGGTGATTCTTTCCTAGTGAAATAGGCCTTAGATAGGGATGTATGCTGTCACTGTAGTTGTTCAGTATATTTATGAATGGGGTTGTAAGAGAATGAATGCACGGGTGGTGGCAAGAGGTGTGGGATTAAAAGATAAATAATCTAGCACAAAGTGGAAGTTGTCACAGTTGCTATTTGCTGACGACACTCTGCTTTTGGGAGATTCTAAAGAGAAACTGTAGAGGTTGGTGGACGAATTTGGTAGGGTATGTAAAAGAAGGTAGGTAGGTAGGTAGACAGCGACCACCCAGGGAGGTACTACCGTCCTTCCAAGTGAGTGTTTTATATGATGGTAGGATTACTGGTGTTCTCTTTTCTCGTAAACATGAAAGATTTCAGGTACGTCTTGCTACTTCTTCTTACACATAGGTCACACTGCACATGCATGTATACACACCACTCTGGGTTTACTTCTATTTTCTTACTAGTTCTTTTTTTATTTCCTCTTATCTCCATGGGGAACTGGAACAGAAGTCTTTCTCCATGAGCCATGCATGTTGTAAGAGGCGGCTACAATACCAGGAACAAGGGGCTAGTAACCCCTTCTCCTCTATACGTTACTAAAATTAATATATTGGAATATATTGGAGTATAGTGGCACCCACACTCTTATATGGGTGTGAAGTATGGGTAGTGTATGTTGCAACAAGGAGAAGACTGGAGGCAGTGGAGATGTCATGTCTGAAGGTGACGTGTGGTATGAATATTATGCGGAGAATCCGTACCTTCATGTGAGGGAGGTGTGGGGATTACTGAAGGTGTTATCCAGAGAGCTGAGGAGGGTTGTTGAGGTAGTTTGGACATTTAGAGAGGGTGGAACAAAATAGAATGCAATGGGGGGCATATACATCAGTATCTGAAGGAAGCTGGGGTTGGGCTCATCTAGGAAAGGTTGTTGGGAAGGGGTACTGCAAGCTATGTGTCTTGAGTCCTGGAGATGGGTGGGTGGTCCAGTGCCTGCACTCTGAAGGAGGGGTGTTGATATGATGCAGCTTTTTACCTTTAGTGTAGGCTGCCTCTGGCAACACAATGATAGAGTGATAATAAAAGTGTTTGTTCTTTTCCACGTCACACTGCCTCTGTGGGAAACAGCTGATGTGTTAAAAAAATATCATACCACAGGGTGACTATCACTAATCCGGTCATTATCGGGACCTATAGGGTGCCAGACAAGTAATTTTGCCGGATTGCAGAGTGGTTAGGTTAGAATACACTCAACGGCGATATTTAGTCCCCTGTGATTTCACCTACTTTATGCCCTATTTTTGGCCCATTCTATTGGTCCAGTCGACAAAACTCATAGCTATGTCGCTAGTATTCCTTCTAGTCTGTCGATTGAGTACAAGAAACTGCCCATTTACGTATTTTAGCTACCCAATAAAGTGGTCAGAATCCGGTAATTTAGTCAATTACACACAAATTTCAAGAGATGTCAATTTCAAAATAGGGTCCAGAAAAAAAATGCAGACACACCTAGCATTCAAATAACATTTTCTCTGTTCATTAGTCACGTCTCTAGGCACCTTTTATTCTATGGTTGCTTTTCAGTTTGAATATTTATTCACACAAGCAATGGAAGATTTACTGTTATGCAGACTACTGCCATATTGTAGAAATTGTATAAATAATATCAACCCATTCATGACTGCCTACTAGACCGGCCAGTTGCACACATATTCGATGGTGACTTCATTTGTTTACTCTTGAACATTAGCAAAAATCGAATATATCCACTACTTTGAGTTCAAATTCAAAATACTTTCCGATGTGAAACTCATCAAAATTATATATCTATTTCTGTAATATATTGTCTACTCTATCAAATAAGACCAAACAAAATGAGACTACCAGAAAATCCACACAAAAATACTCCACAAAATCGCTATTTTACACCAAAAACAGTCGCAGTTTTTTCTCATTATGCATTGCTTGCTCTAGGCTTTTTTTTATATAGTGTACACTTACCACACATACCTATTCTCCCATATGTAGGCCCAGATTTACCTTTACAGCTTGTTGAGTGAGCTGAGCCCATGGAAACCGACAGTGGCTTCAAAGCCACCTTATCTCTTATGGACAATGTATGGTGTAGGTGCTTTACACAACGAGAAGCATTTCTTTTTATTCATTGGAACCATGGCATCGGGCTTAAAGTGAGCAGGTTATAACAATAAATGGAGAAAAAGAAATTGGTATGACTTATGCAGGAAGCGGAGCCACCAACAGTAGCAGCAGGTTGGTGTGGCAACCCTGGAAATTTGAAATTATGCTAGCCGAAATTAGTACCGGATTATTAATGGAACCCGATTACTGATCACCGTATTAGTGAAGGCCACCCTGTATATGTAGACCTAGTATTAGTGAAGGCCACCCTGTATATCTAGACCTAGTATTAGTGAAGGCCACCCTGTATATCTAGACCTAGTATTAGTGAAGGCCACCCTGTATATCTAGACCTAGTATTAGTGAAGGTCACCCTGTATATCTAGACCTAGTATTAGTGAAGGTCACCCTGTATATCTAGACCTAGTATTAGTGAAGGCCACCCTGTATATCTAGA